AAATGATTACCACAATAGGATGAACACCTCCATCACCTCACATAATTAGCATTTTTTTGGTAGGTGGTGAGAATACTTAAGAGCTACTCTCTTAGCAACTTGCAAGTATATGATTACCATACTGTACATTAGATCTCCAGAACTTATTTATCTTATAACTGGAAGTTTATACCCTTTGGCCAACATCTCCCTGTATCTTCTACTCCCAGTCCTGGCAACTGCCTTTCTACTCTCTTTTATACAAGTTTGGCTTTTTTTTTTTTTTTTTTTTTTTAGAGCGAGAGACAGAGAGAACACATGAGTGGTGGGGGTAGGTGAGGAGGGGCAGAAGGAGAGGGAGAGAGAGAATCCCAAGCAGGCTCCATGCCCATCCTGGAGCCCAATGCGGGGCTCGATCTCATGACCTGAAATGAAATCAAGAGTCAGATGCTTAAGCGACTGAGCCACCCAGGTGCCCCTACAAGTTTGGCTTTTTTGGATTCCACATATAAGTGAGATCATACAGTATTTTTTTCTCTGATTTAATTCACCTAGTATAATGCTGTCATTGCTTTTGCCCATGTTGTTGCAAAAGGCAAGATTTCCTTCTTTTCCATGGCTGATAATATTCCACTTTATGTATATACTACATTTGCTTTATTCATTCCTTCACTGATGGACACTTAAGAGGTTTCCACATCTCAGTTCTTATGAACAATGCTGCACTGAACATGGGGGTGCAGACAGCTCTTGAAAATGGTGATTTCATTGCTTTCTGATGGATGCCCATCTAGTGCTTTCTTATGCTGCCAGAATGTCTGAAGACCTGTGTTTATATTTATTTTAAGGGATAGCAGGAGTGACAAGAGCTGAGATCCTGAGAGCCTCAGTTAGGAAGCTGTCAGGGCTCCCAGGGAGGGCCTGAATGGGAGCAGTAGCAGTGCTGATGCAGGGGAATCAGGACCTGCTTCAGAAACAGAAGCATTGGTAGAATGTTGGAGACCCTTTAGGCAGAGGGGTGAGGAAAGAGTCAGAAGATGACTTGAAGGTACCACTCTGGGGGGGCAGTGTTACTAGTGATGCTAAGAACTGGAGGGAACACCTGGGCTGGGCGTAGCAGGTGAAGAGTGGGATGCCTGCATCGAGGAGGATGATTAGAGGGCTTCCCAGAGACAGTAATGAATTTAGTTTCAGGTATCCAAACCACTATTTTACCAATGAGGAGAACTGAGGTTCAGAATGGTAGAGCCTCACTGAGCTCACAGAGCTATTAGGTTGGTGGTGGAGTGGTAAAAGAATGTGCCCAGGTTAACTTCCTCCTGTTGTTTCTATGCCTATGTAGAGGATTCCCGGCTTGGTTATGCCCACTGAGAACATCTCTAGAGTACTAATTACCAAGTGAAAATACCATTAAATACACATTAGGACTGTATTGCCTGTATATATTTTTAGCTGAGTCTGTGACACCAAATGGACCATTTAAGGCTGTTGGGAGAGAAGCCAAGCATTGATATACTAGGAATATTTTAACTCTAGAAGCAGGAAAGCAGGAAGGGACCTTAGAGGTCAGCAAGAACAAATTCATTTTACATGTGAGGAAACTGAGTCTCAAAAAGAGAAATGCATTTGTCTAAGTCTGCACGGGTAACCAGTGATTAAGACAAAGACCCATGTCTTCTGGCTGTTCAATTTATTGCCTTCTGCAGCAAGATTTTCCAAATGATTACTGCAGCCATTGTATTAACTTTTGTGATTCGGTTCATTGCTTTGTCATTTAACTTTCCTGGAAGCTGGACACTGAATCATGAGTCACATTGACATGGCCATGGATGTGTATGTAGAGTCTAAGAGAAATGGGAACCTACATGTGGTGAATTGGATCATTTTCGGTGCAGGCATCCAGTATGACACGTCTTAGTTTAGAAGTTCCTCAAGGGCAAAAAACTATGTATTTGCAGCACAAAACACAGAGCCTGGACCATATTAGCTATTCGGTAAATGTGTGTTGAATGAGTGATCTAAGCCCACTGGGAATTTTTGAACTATGTTTTTTTGTTTGTTTGTTTGAAATAAATTACCTATGATAAATTCATCAGGTCTCTACATTGCCCATATGTAGGCACTCATGAAAAGTCACATGGTTCTCATTCTTTTAATAAGAAACAGCAGAGAGAGCTATCAGCTGACAAAGGAAGGATAAAATGTGAGCACTGGAAATGCCCTTGTCTGAACGTGACCTCTCGCCGGAACACCGGATATACAAACTTTTCAAGTCTGCGGGCCCAGTGACCTCAATATACAAAGATCACTTTTTTTCTCCTTGTCCCTGATCTAGCACACTTACCCTCACAAACTCAAACACACACAGACACATACACACAAACACACGGATTGTCCTTTTTGAATTCCTACAAAGGTGTTAAGCCTATACATTGCTTTTTTGCATAGTCTTAAAAACGACCCTTTGCCATATATTTGAACTGTAAAAATCTTTCTTCTTGAGGACCTTACTCTAATATGAAAACCTCTGGACAAACAGATTATTGAATAACCCATGACTTTGCCTTTCATCTGATTAGTTCCTGCAAGGGATCATAAGACAACTGCACAAAGCCCAGAGGCCTTCAGAGTCCTGAATGATCACAGAGGGCTTTTTTTCCCCCTATCTTCCTGAAATGTCATGGCCATCCTGAGCAGTATCAAAGGGGATCACTGTTTGTATTAGGAACCAAAAAAGGAAAGGAAATAAAAGAAATTTAAAACTCATTTGGGAGAAATGAAAGTTCAACTGTGGGTTGTGTGTCATATGAAGAGTATTATGCCACTTTCTTTCATCGGCTAGATGATTGTGGGGGGACAAAGAAAAGCTTCTGTGGTAAAACCCGTGTAAGAAATGTTTTAGGGTCATCATGTGCTGTCCCTTACAGAATGCTCTTCTCTCCACTGATACAAGTATGAGGCTCACCCACTAGGACCACTAGGGCACCAAACTTGACCTGCGTCCATTTTCACTAAGTGAGTGCTCATGGATCATGTCCTCACAATCTGCAATGCTCATGCCCATGTGACTATAACAACCTGCAAAGAGTTTTTTTGTTTTTTTTTTTTTAAGGTTTACTTATTTCTTTGACAGAGAGAGAGAGAGAGACAGTGAGAATAAGCAGGGGGAGCTGCAGAGGGAGAGGGAGAGGCTCGATTCCAGGACCCGGGGATCATGACCTGAGCCGAAGGCAGACGCTTAACTGACTGAGCCACTCAGGTGCCCACAAAATGTGAATTAAAACTCAGCATCACAACACCTTGTGCTCAAAGTTAGTGTGAAGTGTTCTTAGAGATGTTGACCTGGACCTGGTATCTTCTTAGATACCCACCAATTTTGTCATTTTATTCTTTTTGCAACAAGTTGGCTTATTAAATACACACTTCACTTTGCTTTAATTTATATAACTTTATAAGACTCTTACCATAAATAAATGACCAAATCAGAATAAAAGGCCTTTGTGTGGTCCTACACTTCTGGAGTTCTGGGTTCAAAAAATACAAACCCAGTCTTCATTATCTTCTGTCTTCAGCTACTATTAGTGGCTAGAGTTATAAGCAAAAGGATTCATTTCATTTTATTAATCAGCAGAAATCCCAGTAATTTTTTGCCATAAATTCTGCTCTGGAACTCTGATTTCACTACCTACATCATATTGTCTTTCATAATTTTTAACATGCTGGAGAAAGTCAGGGAAATCTCAATGGCCAGTTAGTTCTACGGTCCCATGCTGGGTGCTTTCCATATGTTCATTCATTTCATCCACACGACAGCCCTGTGAGGTACACATTATTGCTGTCATTTTGCAGATGAGGAAGGCTAACCTTAGAGTGTTTAACAAACTGGCCAACATTCACTTAAAAAATTAAGAATCAGAGCAAAAGTGATTCTAGCTGATTGGTCTAAATAAGACCAATGCCTGCCTGCTTCTCTCTCTCTCTTCTCTGTCCAAGGGCTTTTCTTATCCAATAGATTGTAGAGTACTTAAGGCCATCTAGTTTACTGTTGTATTCCAAGCATGTAGTCCGGACACTGGCATCAATATAAATATCTGTTATCTGTTTAGTTGCGTTGAGTGGGACACCCTCGGTACATAAGCCTGGAGGAGAGATAGTCTAAGACTAATGATTTAGTAGTTGAGAGTATTCAATGTTGGCAAATGACTATGGGCTCTGGGTTCAAAAAGATTTGAATCTCAATTCGGATTTGAATTCCAATTTCCAAAGCACACCATCTGTATAATTTGAACAAGTTACTTAGCCTCTTGAGGTCTCAACGTTCTCACTGTAAAATGGGGATAGTAATTTTACCTTCATGATTATTTGTGTAAACTGCATTTCTGATGGTTAGTAGATACAAATAAATGCTAGCTACTACTACCCTTAATTGGATTGACTTTGGGTGCCTTTTAACATATTACATAATTTAGTTATATTTATTATGTTTATAATTTATCACCCACTAAAATGTAAACTCCATGATGGCAGGGATTTTCATGTTTTAATCATTGTATCCCAAATGCTTAGAGCAGTTTTGTCCAGTAGAACATTCAGGGATAATGGAAATGTTCTATACTGGAGTCGTCTAATCCTGTAGCCACTGGCCACACGTGGTTACTAAACACTTGAAATGTAGGTAGCTAGTGTGACTGAGGAACTGAATTGTAAACTCTATTTAATTTTAATTAATTAAACCTAAGTAGCTGTGTGTGACTAGTGGCATGCTATACTAGCACACTTCTAGAACCTTACATGGTATCCAGAAGTTTTAGTAAATAAATACTTGTTAAATGAATGAATGCCTTCTGGACTCAAAGATCAAAAACAAAGCTGATTGACTGTATATTCAGCTCACTCTAAAGATGAGCACTGAAGAACTTTCCTGAGTGATCTGCTCATACTGGAGGCCTCATGAGGTTCCAATATGTGATTTTGTTTACAATTGTAATAAGGTTTTGATTTCTATTTCTTTTTGGTGATAGGTCAAGAAAGATTTGGAAACATGACAAGGGTCTATTACCGAGAAGCTATGGGTGCATTTATTGTCTTCGATGTCACCAGGCCAGCTACATTTGAAGCAGTGACAAAGTGGAAAAGTGATTTGGACTCAAAGTTAAGTCTCCCTAATGGCAAACCAGTTTCCGTGGTTTTGTTGGCCAACAAATGTGACCAGGGGAGGGATGTGCTCATGAACAATGGCCTCAAGATGGACCAGTTCTGCAAGGAGCATGGTTTCGTAGGATGGTTTGAAACATCAGCAAAGGTAATGTGAACTTAAAGGAGAAATGCATTAGGCAAGAGTCAGAAAGAAAATAATCATATAATCATTGTCATCATCATCATGATATTAATATGTGTTTGTCTAGTGATTTATAGTTCCCAAGTTGCTTGAAGCTCTTTCTCATCTCAAGGGGATGAGTGGGCAGGGCAGAAATTACTATCCACAATTTAAGATGATTTTGGCTAAGAGAGCAAAAAGCGACTTGTACGTGGTCTCAGTGATAACGGTTAATAACTGTGTTTGTTTATTGAGTGCTTATTATCTGTCGGGCATATTTTATATGCATTTTCTCATTTAGTCCTCACACAACCCTATTAGGTAAGTATGATTTTAGAGTAAATGAAAGAAATGGGCCTCGCATTCAATGTCACTGCCTTATCCATGTGTTAATTAATTTACTCCATCAATATTTAATATGTTTTTCTGTATGCCAGAAATTGTACTTTGCCCTAGAAATGAAAAGATGGCAAGAATTTGGAACTATCACATTGGGAATACTGGAATAGTGGAGTGAAAGAGTAGACAGCAAGTGTAATTGCGAAGAACATCATGTTGTTTGGCACTTCTCACTTTTCTGGGGAGCAGAGGAATAGCAGGATGTGAGGCAGAATCAGGGCTGGAAGATGAAGAGCCCTATGTGGCATGATAAGGATATTATTCTTCCCATTCTGCCCCATGCTGCTATCTCATTTGTCAGAGGCATGGTTTTTGCTCTACTCCCTTTTGTTTTTGCTTATATTTTTGTATCTCAGTATCAGAGAGAGAGAAAAAAGCTTTTATAGTAAATTTTCAAAGTTAAAAAAAGGCATATATTAAAAAAATAAATGTTTCACTGTATTTTTTTGCTATTTCTTGTGTGCATATATTTTACATTAATGCATATGAAATTTATGTTTTATATTTATAAATGAATTGTATATTGAAATAGATATATATTTATATAATATCTATTTATTTTACATATAAATATATAAATATATTTTACATTACTAGGATTGCATTCTGTATAGTTTTATATCATAATTTTCCCATTTTTATTTATTTGTGGAAAACATATTAAAGACTTATGGAGCACAGGCACTGTGCTAGTTGCTTGGGATTCAGCTGTGAATAAGATAGGCATTGTCTCTGTACTTATGGAAATCACACTAAGGCCTTATTGCAAATCATTTGAGAGTGGTTTGAAAATATAACGTGAATGGATGTTATTCAAATAGACTGAGGAGGAATCTCTGACCCATTTTATGCTGGAGAGCAGAATGGACCTATTTTCCCCAGGGACTAGGGAAAGATAGACAGGAGGCAGATCAACCTGGAGACTGAGTAACATGGTAGTCGTTGCATTCCTATGGGAAAATGGCAAGGCTTTGAACGAGGGTAAATGCTATAGGAATAGGAAAGAAAAACCTGATTTGAGACCCTCACTGAAGTTTATTTTTTTAAGGTAATTATTTATTTATTTTGAGAGAGAGAGCGAGAGAAAGCAAGCACAAGCAGAGGGAGGGGCAGAGGGAGAGGTAGAAGCAGGCTCCTCACTGAGTGGAGAGCCCAACACGTGGCTCGATCCCAGGACCCTGGGATTAGGACCTGAGCCAAAGGCAAACAGACACTCAACCAACTGAGCCACCCAGGCTCCCCTCGCTGAAGTTTAAACACCAATGGGGATTAGGCAACTGCGTGGGTTGGGGGATGATGGAGATGGAGAAGAGGGTGGTGGTACCACTTTCTCGGTCATAGTTGGGATGCTTTTTTGTTCTGGCCACATGCCCTGGATGGTCTCAGTGTCTGCCTCCTCTCTCTGGTATCTCTGAGCTGGCCTGTGCCTGGAAGTTGCTACTTCCAGAAGTTCCTGGGTTTTTTGCCTTCCTTTTTGGAGCCACGGCACACTAGTATGCTTTTTTCCTTCTCTCTTCCAAAACCTTTTGTTTCCCCTATTTCTTAGGATTTTTCCTTTGATTCAGAACACAGTATCCATCATTTGCTGTTGTCTTTCTACTTTTCTTGTCAATGAATGCTTTTGGTTTGTTTGTTTGAGGGATGATTCCAAAAAAGAGAGAAATGTAGAGCAAAACTCACAGGTCTGATGAGGTTACAGAATTTTGAAAAATATGACTTTGTTTTTTGAATGTGGGGCTTGAACTCATGACCTCGAGATCAAGACCTGGGCAGAGATTAAGAGTCAGATGCTCAACCAACTGAGCCACCCAGGCACCCCAGAAATATGACATTTTTTATAGTTCGATTTTTGGACGTTAGGCTTTTTTCATTTTAAATGGCAAAATGCATGTGAATTCACCTATTCTCCTTATTCCTTAGCTCCACACTCAAATTTATTCTATGGCTTCTGCATATTCCTTCAAATTCCTTTCTTTCAAAAGAATTGCTTTTCTGCCTGGAAACTCCAGGTACAGGGGTAGAAGAGTAGGATTTTAGAGAAATCCTTTTCTCAATATGTTACTTTCCATCTGAAGGGCAAACTGGAATGAATGACTCATCTATTTGGTGAGGGAGTCTTCCATCACTCACTCATTCATTCATTCAACAAATGTTACTGAACAGCTGTTATGTACCAGGCTCTGGGAAATATAGCAATCTATAAAACACACAGAATCCTGACCTCCTGGATAATGATAAACAATAAAGTATAAGTAAAATATATAGGGTGTTAGAGGAAAAGTGTTAGGAAAAAAAAAGAAAGAAAGAAGGAAAGAAAAAAGAGAAGAAAAGAAAGGAAAAGACCTATGAATTTGTAGGGAGGACTAAACTTGCTTGTGGACCAAAGAACCTCTTGGCCATTTTCTTTCACCTCACTCTGACATTTCTTGCTTGACCGCTGCAGTCAAACTCTGCTTAAGAGCATGAGGTTCATTAACTTAAGGCCTGACTGACCTACTGTACTTAGATACGGGATTTTTAATTCTCCAAATCCCCGCCAGTGTAAACTTTGAAGAGAAGCTTTGTACAGAGAGAGGGTGGAGGGATTTCACAAGCCTGAAGTACGCTGAAATGCTAAAGAGGGTACAAGTCCTCATTGTACTGCATTCAACATCTTCTTCCCTCCAAAGGTACTGCTACTGAAATTGTCCTGAATGTCTAAATAATGAACATGTCTTCCCGGTGCCAGGTTAGTGTTCAAAGTTAACATCTAGAATCTCAGGAACAATACTGCAGCGTTGAGGCTGGAGTGTCAAACTGCTCTACAAGTCTTTTTAAAAGATCTCTGATAAAACTGATAAAACTCTGCTTCCTTTCTGAGGATAGTATCACAGCATTTGCAAATAGAGGCCCAGATCAGACTATCTACCTGAAGACAAGATGACTGACAGCTTTTGGAGACTATGATCCACTCCTTCTTTGATTACAACATTTGGAATCAGGGAACATTTCTCATAGAGATCTTTCTCTTAGAAAGTGAATCTACTAATAATTAAAGTCCTTTTGTGTGATGTTGTAATCATTCATTCTGGTGATAAACATCTGATTTCATTTTCTTTACGTCTCTAAAACTTTGAATGCGCCAAAGGCCATGATCTTTGGCTTTGACCCCATAGCCATGTCTTGCAGCAATCCTGTGGCTTGGCCATTTCTGAAGCTGAAACTTGCAGGGTGGTAGAAGAATTTGTCATCGGGACTAGTCTCCATCTTGCTGCTGAACCCACTGTCCGCATTATACCTGAGTTCTAATAATGTCTATTTTATGTATTCCTGTGCCCAAGCCCAGTCTTGACAACACATTTTGGTAGATTTGTCTCTTTAGGATGAGAGCCTTGGTCTGTTCTTGTTGGACCATCCCCAATGTTGGGAGTCCTATCTTCTGGGGCCTTCTCAGTGGCCGATGGGGTCCTGCTACCTGCTGACCCATTTACCTGGTATATTGGTGGTACCCATGGCCTGAATCTCCACCAGTTCCTCCTTTAAGGTTCACTTTTATGGCCACACCCACCCACCTTCTAGGGTTGTTGAGAGCATTAAGTGACATAGGTATATGTTATGCGGATTACACATATACACCATACCTACCCCTCAAGCATAACATCCCTATCCCCTGTTCCTGCAGCCCATCTACTGGTCTGGATGTCACCATCCATACTTAGCTCTGATGCACATAGCAGCTACACTCGGTAGAAGGGTCTGTTTCTATATCTCAGCTCTTTCCAGGCTGTTCCATCCTGCTTTTAGGGTGCGGTGGCTCATGGGTGGCTGTGTTTAGAAACAGGACACCAGGAAAATGCCTGGGAAATAGTGGAACAGTAAGATCTATCCAATGGTGGTGACAGGAACCAAGGTTACAGACCTACAGTGCCCCTGGCTCATGGTCCTCTCCACCTCGTGTCCTAGTCCTAGCAGATTTCTATCCTATGTATAGTGACTTTTTAGGCCCCTCCTCTTGCTCAGAATGTTCTAAAATCAATGGGTACCCCAGGAAGAAACTTTCTTACATTAAACTCCACTCAATTTTAGCATCTTCCTGCAGTTAAAAAGAAAAATGTTGATGTGTGTCCTTCTGGGGGAAGGAGTATACTCAGCAATGCTCTCCATAAGAAGTTATTCATTTTTTACAGGGAGGAGGTGGTGGTCCTCAGTGTAGTGATATTTTTCATGTGTTTTGGATTTCTAGCAATTATTACATGTTTGCTATCTTTGGGGAACTTCTAGCCATAGTAGGCTTACCTCCCCAGGAAGAACCCATAAAACTTTCTTCTTTTGCTCTCTTTGCAGCCAGAGCATAGGCATATGACCTAGATTCCATCAGTCATACTGATTGAGCAACTAGATGAAGAAGGTGCAATACAAAATCCGTTTTTTGGTGGGGGTGGGGGTGGGGGGTAGGTAGAGGCAGCACAGGCCTCTATCCTTGGGAGACAGCAGAGTTTGCAGGGTCCTGTGCTTGACCCAGAAAGAGAATCACTACTGGCCCCGGGGACAGTTGAATTCAAGTTGAGCTCCTAGAAGATTTGCGGATTTTTAGGACCCAGTGCTCA